CAACAATTTATCTTATTTGTCCACTGAGAAATTTGTTCTTCAGCTTACTGTGAGAAGGCATTTTCAAAGATAACATATAACTCATAGTTCACCACATAGAATACTTTTTCCACTTACTGTACTGATATGATTTTTGCTACACGAGTTCCTAGATATTGAAGAGGTCTCGCCTCACTCCGCCGGTTGAAATTATCAGGAAAACAGCTACATTTGTCATGCTATACCACTTTCGATAATGTGGAAACATTTCAAAAACCCAAGAAGGTACTGGATGTGCGTTCACCAGTCAAGGTTCGACTCACAGTTGGAGATTACCGGCACAAACAAGTATTTTCACAGCCGAACTATGCGCTATCCAACAAACAACCTACTTCTGTCAATTCCATAACGAAATAAAATTTCTCATTTGTACGGACTCCTTAAGCTCACTACACGTACTAGAAAATTCATTCTATAAAGATCCACTAGTACAGACCGTATTGGCATCCATACACTGGACGAATAGGAATGGAAAACACATCGAATTTGCATGGACTCCTAGTCACCAAGAAATCTCGGGTGATGAATTAGCAGATCAGGCAGCCAAACGAGCTACCGAAATACCTGATGTTTGTAATAATATTCCTATTCGACCGGAAGACGTAAAACATTATTTTAAACAACAGATTATGGATTTATGGCAAACTGAATGGGAGGAAATAGATGCAAAATTGAAAGAGGTGAAGCAAAAAATCACACCCTGGAGGCATTCTATTCCAAAGACACGAAAAGAACAAACTGTGATTACACGCTTGAGAATAGGTCATATCAACTTAACTAACATATTCATCGTTTGTTTGAAGGTGATTGACAATGTTTCGTGATGAATTTCACTAGTTCGGACTTCCATTGTCTACTATATAAAATGATTTGAAATCCCTGAAACAAGTAAAAAAGAATAATTGAAAAAGAATAGTTGAAAATAACAATTATATTAAGCAACAATAAACCTGAAATGAAATGATAGTGAAAACCGAACAAGTGAAATTTAACATATTCATGCTCTGAGGAGAACAACAACCAATATGCCAACAATGTAGACAGAGGCTAACAGTGAAACATATCTTGTTAAATTGTGTCCAATGTGAATATCAATCAGTTGATTCTGTACAGTATTCATACAGAATCTTACTTACGCAATGAAACAGGATTTAAAAAATAAAAAAGATTTCCCAAATCAGTTATTCCTGTTTACTGAATCATTCTTTTGGTGTTAAAATGTCGCTAGATGATTTCATGAAATAATATCACTGGACATTTTTAACTTCCAGTCCAAGTGGCACTCATGAAAAAATGAGACAACAATGATACCGTGACTACAATAAATCGGGCATATATGGCCTTCTGCGAGAATCTCGACCTTCTACTGTTAGCAGAACCGCACGTGAAGATAATTAAGCCAGAGCCGGCCTTTATGGATATCACGACTTTGCTAACATGATGATTTACTTTGCTTTGATAAACTTTGTATATAAACTATCTCTTTTGGTCGGTAATTACCACGAAGTGGATTTATATGGCGAGATTCTGTGAGCACTAGTCCCGTGACGACCGTTTGTTAACGAGAATACAGCGGAAATTTCGCGATTGTGACGAGTTGAAATATGATCCGGGATAATCTCAGAAACGAAAGACACAGAAAGTGATTTTCGAAAGAATTTCTGTTACAGATTGTACGGGTGAAAATTTTATAGTCTTTGATTCTTCTTGAGTCACATTTGATTTAAAGTTTGTAACAGAGAAGGCATCTTTAAATGACGTGCCAATCAAAGCACGTTGAGATCTCAGTTGAAATGATATGTAAACAGAAATCCAACAACTCCAATTTTTCAAAACACATTTTGAAATTGTGAAACTTTTTCTAAAGTACCTTTCAGAAGGAGTGAAAGAAATGTGATGGTCGTTCATTTCAAAAACCGTTAAGGTCTGAATTGGAATGACATGTAAACAGTAATTTTTCTTTAAGAACAAAACACAAGCACTGCGGAAATATCCTCAAAGTGCTGTCAGAGCGGTGCCTGTGCAAAAGTAGCGATTCACATTGGATTTGAATCGCTGGAGATTAAATCCATTAGGAAAAAGGTTCTCAGGAAGTTCATTCTACATGAACGCAGTTCTCCAAATGAAAGAATTCTCAAACAGTGAAGTTCGAGGTGTACTGAGTTGAACCTAAAAACGATGTGCAGTCACATTCCGTCGAGTATTTCTGATATGTAACACTCTTGGTGGAATCAAATATGTCAAGTCACTTGAACACCTCTCGTGAATGAATCTATAGAAGAGAGTCAAATCTCTAATTTTTCTTCGATGTTCCAGGCTATCGAAATTGCCGTCTCTAATCAGGCGGATTGCTCTTTTTTGGATGGAATCCAGCAACTTCAGAGTATGTTTGGGATCAGAGCTCTATACATGAGAACAATACTCCAAAGAAGGTCTGATCTGAGCTTCACAAAGCATCCACACTTGCTGAGGTGGGTACAGTTTTCTGTTTTCAAGCTTTCGAAAAGCAGCCTTTGCAATTCCAGCGACATCATTGTGCCAAGATATATTGGTGTCCATTTTAACCCCCAACAAACTTATCGAAGCAGAAAGTGGAATTGTCTGACCTGACATTATTATATCCGGTTCGGAAACATTTATCTTCTTGGTCGATTGATGGTGGTTAGATTCGTGGTTCAGATACTGTCCTGTGTGAGTGGGTTTTCGATATACGAATGTTTCCCACTTAGTGTCGGTCCTCTTCACCAATACGTCTAAGAATGGCAATTCGTTGTGGGCTTCCTTCTCCACTGTGAAAGTGATGGAAGGTCTTACGCTGTTGATGTGTTTCAGGAAGGCGTCTAGTTCAGTATTCCCATGGTTCCATATTATGAAGGTGTCATCAACATATCTCAACCAGACTCGAGGTTNTTCAATAGCCAGAGTTTCAAACCAGTCCATATATATGTTGGCTATGACTGGTGGAAGTGGCGAGCCCATTGGCAGTCCCTCATCTTGTGACGAATTCTTTACACACAGCCACACACGATCAAAGGTCTTAGAAATATCAAGAGCAACAGCTCTTGATTTTCCGTGTTTCTCAATGGCGTTATTCCAAATATGGGTGACATACGATAGAAGGTCCCCTGTTGATCTTTGTTTCCGACTTTCTCCACGATTTTTGATATCACTGATAGCAAAGCGACTGGTCTATAGTTATTTGGAAGATTTTTCTTGCCCTTTTTGGCAATTGGCTGAACGCGAGCAATCTTCCAACAAGAAGGAAAAACTCCCTTTTTGTGAGACAGGTTGAGAAGTCTGGTGCGACTTCATTGGCGCACTTTCCAAGAACGATGACGGGCACTTCATCAGGGCCAGACGCCTTGTTGATATTGAGCTGTTTCAAAATTCGCTCAACTAGACGCTGTCGAGAAGTAATTTCTAGCGTTGTAGTTTCTAGTGTGGAAATAGTGGGTGGTGCCTTTCCCAGAAAATTGACTGTGAAGTGGGACGCTTCTTCTATGGCTGCTGTTGCAATGGAACCAATGATCCAATGATTAAATCCTTAAATTTTCATAAATTTCCTGGGTAGGAATTTGTTTTGAAGTTCTCAATAGCGGAAGGCATTTTAGAAAAACAGTTGAAGTTTCAACAAAAATCATTTGGGTCAAAACTACCTTTTGAAAAGAGTGAAAGTATTGTATGGATTTGTTATTTTGATTGAACGTTGACAAAATCTATAATGAAATTAATGAAACTAATGAGCACATGTAATGAACAAAGTGTTTTCATGTTATTCGATAAATTATTAGGAATGGAAAATTCAAATATTTGAAGAAAGTATATTCCATTGAGCATGATATGAATCCGATGAGAGTGAGCATCTCAATCTATTCTAATGAGAAATGATCATTCTTCGCCAGCAAAATACTGTACTTATTGAAAGACTTCATGAGATATTTCCTATCAAGTTGACATTTTCATGTGACTACAATCAAAATTAGGAAGATAACTCAATTTGATCAATCAGTATTTGAGAAAAAATTACAAAAGTCATCGCATTTTAACACATAATCATTCACTAGCAAGTTTACACCTATCCTTTGACCTGCAAAAGTTTTTTCAGAAAGACAAACAAAAATACTTGTCTGTCTACTTCTCATTCCCTACTGATAAACTTTATGAAAAAAAANGACTATCTATTCTCTTTATCCAACATATTTAAATCAAAATATAATAATTTGTAGTAATTCGTCTTTGGATGCAATTCAATATTATTATTATTGATACTGGTGATATAAAATTGATTGTAGGTTCGATAATGAAAATAGATAGTCTTCGAAACGCCACCAGATAAGATTACAAATAGAATAGGTTTCCGCGGTTGAACCGCGCTCAAAAATTTTGCTTTTTTCGACGTTTCGGCTTCGATTTTGAAGACATTTTCAAGAGGTAGAAAAGTGTTGCTGTACTGAGAGACACACTTCAGCGCATGTTTCATCCAAATAAAAAATGGATTTACCCAGTGTTCTGGCTTTCTTTATTGCTCTTAAATAGTTTTTTCTCCATTCTACAATCTCTGATTTTTTTATTGAGATGCTCTTTATCTCATTTTCCAAAAGTGAAGTTCAACTCTATCATGATCTAGTTCTGCTTGTTTCGGGAAAAAAACTGTCTTCACGAATAACTGACAAAATTTTATTCAATGTAGGTATTTCATTTTTTATGTAAGAAGCGTGTACTGGCTTCTTCGTCGATAACCAAACACTTTCTACGAGTGGATACTTTCGGCTTCAAAAAGCTATTGTTTTCCTTGAATTATTTTAGAATTCTAAAACTTGTCGATCTATTGACACCGGTCATACTCGCGCAATACTTGCACTCATTACTTTTTATTTCAGGAGGATAATATTTCGTAGCTTCCATGTTTATTCAACGCGCTCACGAAATAAACTGAAGTATATCACTAAGACTAAGACAAACTACTCTACTATGGCCAATTCCCAACAGAAAATGCTGTAATATTTTCTTCCTATGGAAAAATCCAAGTCGTTCCTATTGATGGGTACAATGTGTCTGTTAACGGTGTAATTCAAAGGAATATTTGTACCGCCTGCAAAAAAAAACAATGTTTTATCAATCCTCGTCAATACTTATTTGTTGAAGAATTTCTTGGTTCCTACAAGACATATTTTCACATCTTCTGTGAGATTTTTCAAGAATAAATTTTGCATATTCTTTTACTCAGTAAGTTGAGACTAAATGATTTGAATGGCATGACAAAATAACTTTTTTTGTTCCATTCTATCGGAATTTTCAGAATGGAAGATTTTGCGAAATCCTTAAGGAATAATAACATTAAAAATTATTTTTGTTTTACTATTTTGGCATATTTCAGCTCAATTTTTTTGTGACATGTGTGGCGTCACAAAAATACTCAACATAAGATCTCTTAATTAGCTAAGGAACATAGAATTTTTTTTATCAAAAACCATAAAGAGTAAAGAAAAAAAAATCGAAAATTAACAGAAAATATTTATACAAGAGGATTGAGAGATTGAAAAAATATTGGAGAACTGCTTCAATGGAGTATTGAAGGTGATAACATCACCCCTAACGAAAAGGCTATCTATAACTATAGGATAAACAGAAAACTCAATCTACAAATATCAAAGATTAACAACGCATCCTGAGGCTGCCCAATTGCAAAGTCAAATCCTGACATCAATTGCCGAACCAGATTCGTCCTCTGCCGTACACTGCAGCTTTCAGTGCAATACAACTAGATCAAACCAAAGCGCAAATGAAAAACATTTGTAATCCAACACCAGGCAGCACTATTTTGATTCACCAAGGTCTCATCAGTGGTATTAGGCTCAACCAAGAATGCACTTCTGGGCTCAAGTATCTTAAAAGAAAAATCCGGAATAATTGAGAGAGATGACTTCTCCCCTTATGAAAATAAACAAGGCTCCTCAAGATGAACCGTTGCAAAACTAAGCTTCAACATGATCTGCCGAACTAATAAACAGCTTTGTCTCAAGTTGGAATACGAATGTCGATCATTAATCGATGTCCAAGTTTGGCTTGCAACCTTGTTCCAAAGTCTGGTTTGATTTCGATATCGTATTGGGTTTTCTGTCGATTATATAGATGGCGTCTACTTGAAAGGAAACATCATCAGCGCATTTGTAGTGTTGCCTAGCACCCCTGAATTATTTATGTTTGGGCTCTATTTCTATCTCGATCAAAAATAAAAAGAGAAAATAATACAACAAAATGAAAGATCGCTCTAGTTTGTACGAAAAAAAACCCATAATGAAGCTTTGTTTCCTTGTTTACATCAAGCAAGTGAAATTTAACAAAAACCTCATTGCTTGTTAGATGATTCTTTTCAATTCAGGGCCGGAAAAATCAAAATGAACGCTATTAAATTATCTAAGAACAATTCGTTCAGGCCAGTCTCAACTCCCTACACAGTAGGTTAATGGACTGACACTTATCAGAAAACAACTACTCCCCTGGCTAATACCACGAAGGGCGTTGGATTATATCCGACAGGTGTCAGTGCAGGATTCTTCACAGAAGTTATTCCTGCATATGCTGTTGGCGATACAACTGCATATGTAGGAACTACAATTTTCAATTATTGGAACACACTTGAAAAGAAAAATCCGGAATAATTGAGAGAGATGACTTCTCCCCTTATGAAAATAAACAAGGCTCCTCAAGATGAACCGTTGCAAAACTAAGCTTCAACATGATCTGCCGAACTGATAAACAGCTTTGCCTCAAGTTGGAACACGAATGCTGATCATTTATCGATGTCCAAGTTTGGCTTGCAACCTTGTTCCAAAGTCTGGTTTGATTTCGTTATCGTATTGGGTCTTCTGTCGATTATATAGATGGCGTCTACTTGAAAGGAGACATCATCAGCGCATTTGTAGTGTTGCCTAGCACCCCTGATGGATACTAGGCAAAACTATACTATTGCTAGGCAAAAAAGCACTGTTTCATCACGAATTATTTATGTTTGGGCTCTGGTTCTATCTCGATCAATAATAAAAAGAGGAAATAATATAACAAAATGAGAGATCGCTCTAGTTTATACGAAAGTAAAACCCATAATGAAACTTTGTTTCCTTGTTCACAACAAGCAAGTGAAATTAAAAAAAAAACTCATTGCTTGTTAGATGATTCTTTTCAATTCATGGCCGGAAAAATCAAAATGAACGCTGTTAAATTATCTAAGAACAATTCGTTCAAGCCAGTCTCAACTCCCTACACAGTAGGTTAATGGACTGACACTGACACCTGGCTAATACCACGAAGGGGGTTGGATTATATCCGACAGGTGTCAGTGCAGGATTCTTCACAGAAGTTATTCCTGCATATGCTGTTGGCGATACAACTGCCGCAATAGATTTTCAATTATTGAACTCCTTCAGAGTATCATTCCTCGAACTAAGTTGAAACATACAACAAACAACAGGTTTGTCGTCGCCCCATCTGCCTGTGAACGAGGTAACCAACTGCATATCCGAAATTTGCCCAATTCCTCGTATAAGGAAAGAAAACTTTCACATATAGTCAGAGGGCATACTTGAAGACTGGCTATGAATCAAATTATCTAAGAACAATTCGTCCAGGCCAGTCTCAACTCCCTACACAGTAGGTTAATGGACTGACATCTATCAGAAAACAACTACTCCCCTGGCGAATACCACGAAGGTCGTTAGATTATATCCGAACGCTGTTAGTTGAACTTAGCGATTTATAAAGATATCATCAGTTTTTCCAGATCAAAATGCGCAGAATTTCAGCAAAAACGGCATCTTTATCAAAGGAAACTTCCACTAAGAATTCACTAAAACGTACTTTGATGACATCAAACAACCACTCCACAATTATTCATAACATTTCTCCATTACTATAATACACCAGATTCCGACCCTCGAGAGGACTGCATGAATAATTCGAGAACGAACTTTTCAAAGTTGTACGGTCGCGAAAAGCAGCAAAGTTAGCAAGGAAAGAGTCCTAGTCAAGAGCATTTTCTCCCTGTTTGTGCGTCGCAAGGACTCTCGATCATCCCCGTTACCAACATTTTCCAAGCAAACACTTCAATTACCATTGTGATAATGGTGAGCTGGTATAGAGGGAGCTGAATTGAGTTTTGAATATTGATATCGCAATTTTATTTACGGGTTAGGGTCTTGAGAGGCTATTCGAAGCTTTGTCAGGATAAAGGAAAATTCGTTGAAGTAGGTTTGCGAAAATATTATGAAAAATGGGGAGAGTCCGTTCATTTGGCAAAAGGTGGAAAACTGTCTAAGAATAAGATTTCTCAACGGTCGACTACTCGATGTATATAAAATACAGTCCTTCAAAAGAAAGAAATTTCACGCAAAAATTAGAGAATTAGATTCGGACTGAGTAATTTTTGGGAAACATCTTTTTGGCTTCAACTTCTCTATTGTTATACGTTCCTGATGAGGTGATAATACAAGCGGGTGTAGCCGTGACTACGTGGTAGGATACCATCATGGAAAATGAGAAAACAAACTTTCTATGTTTTGTTACCACTTTTATTTGTAACTGATGTTACCGCGGTTTTGTTCTGTTAGAACATTTTCAAACAATTACATTAAATTTTATATCGTAACTAATCTTGCAAGAGTATTATATCGTGTAGCGTTCCTGTGAATGAAATCTGATTCAATTCTATTACGAATGCTCGAAATACAAACTGAATAGGAAGAACTGATTGAAGTTTAATTCGGTGTTCATATAAAAAAATTGCAAATTCGGATGGTTTGCGTACGCACGTGCGTCGATAGAGTTCCGTCAGAAACTGGAATTTTAGTGGTTTTTTGTCGATAGAAAATTTCACATCAGGGTGACGGTAAAAGTGCCGCGAATATTTTTTTTTTTGAAAAATAAAGTCAGTTTCGGGTCCTGAATTGATAAAATTGAATAATATCTAAAATTGATTCAGTGTATTTGGACTACCTAAATAGTAAACATTTTCGATATTCTGTGACTGAACCATAAAAGGGACTGTAATTAACATAAATTAGCACATCTGGCAAGACAACCGGCCAACCTACCAGAGGCGTACCAAAGTGAGTAAATAGTTTCAGGAAAGCTGCATCACAGAGTGAGTAAAGCTCATATTGCTTTGGCGAGTTCCAGTGGCGTACAAAATTCTATTGATCCGCAGAGCGTCTCATTGGCATCCAACACACCACTTGGATTTGTTCCATACATTGGAACATAGTTTCATGAAAGGACGTTCACCCCCACGAATCTTGTAACAATCACTCAATGTATTGCAGAGGGGATTGATTGTCAGTCTCAGACTGATGTCATCTACACTGATTTCTCTAAAACGTTCGACAGACTTGACCATAGTATCCTGCTCAACAAGCTTTCGACTTTTGGGTTATCCAATGACTTAATTACCCTCTTCAAATCGTATGTTTACTACCGTAAGCAGTACGTCCAACTCAATGGTCTCAAGTCTATCGAATATATAGCCACATCTGGTGTACCACAAAGATCAAATCTAGGACCCCTACTATTCAATATGTTCATTAATGATATTGGAGCTGAGCTGACTTGAAACTCTATTACAATATAACATGTTCTAATGATTGCGAACGTCTCGCCCTGAATTTAAATCGCGTTGCTACATGGTGTCNTGAGTAATTTTTGGGAAACACCTTTTTGGTTTTTTCGCAACGAGGTGGCATTCAAAAGTTTTTTTGTTTTTTGTATCGGAAAAGTAATTGGATGTTTTTATACTGTTGAATATGCCTCATAAACACTATCAGTCGAGTAGTTGGTATTATTTTCAAAGTGTATATTTGTATTATTAAATTTGAATTCATCAATAATTCACTCCTTCCCAACCTATTATTTCATATGCAAGCTGCGACTCGACAAGTGAAAAAGGCAAGGTTTGCATCTGAATAATTTCTATGATATTTGAATCTGTGAAGAGACCCTCGATTGATCCAATCATGGTTCTGATGTGACTATCAAAACGTTAGTGTCTATCCAATGTTATTACCAGATGGTTCATAGAGTAAGATACAGGTACCTGATAAT